TATATATATATATATATATATATATATATATATATACCCACCGGTTCAAGCATTCAAGCGCCAAATCAGGAAAAACACAAGCAGAGACACAGTTGCAGACAGCGGGAGGTCAAGGTTTCTTCTCTCGGCCGCTCTTCTATATATCAATTTCCTATCGATTGCTGTTAATCGCTGGTTGAATCTGATTGACTCGCGATACGTTTCTGTTTGAAGCATTGGATCATGAAAATTGCAAATTATATAGTAGATCTCGAGAGCATTTGGGAAGTTTGGCTATGTTAAAATGCAAAATTTGATCTGTATGCTGAGCAAATTAAACTTGTTAATCTGCCATTATTCGTAATAATCAAAATCAATTGCTACATCCGTGGTTTGATTGAAACCCTATGTATTTCAATGTTTTATCCTGTTTAGTTTCATTATATAATTCGACAAGTGGCCTCTGATTTCCAGATTGTTCCCTAGACTCTAGAGTAACTGGTGTTAATTTAGCTATTGGAATGCGTACGTCATTATAACTTGTTAGGTAGAGTTGTTTATGACTAACTTTCACATAAGTGATATAGATTATAGGTACTTGCCTGCTGCAATTAAGGCCTGATGGCAATGTATATTCTATTACCAGCTACATCTTTTCTAGTCCCGCAAAAAACTAACATGAAGAGACTTTTTGGATACAATAGTGCTGCTCATAAAAAAAACTGCAAGTTTGTTTTCATTATTTCTTTTTTTACAGTTGTTTCTATCATTTTATATTGGATGAATTTTTCTAAACCTACAACCTATCAGTCTCTGTAGTTATGTATTGAAGTAAATAACATATAGTCAATCTGCTATGTGCCTATGCAGATGTCAAAATCAGGGAAAACAGCAACTCCAGATGTCAATTCAAAAGAGAAAAGTTCACTGCTAGGTAAGGAAAGAAGTCCTTGACCTTACTCATAGGAATTAGTTGACAATTTTTAAGAATTTTTTCTTTTAATATAGCCAACAGATGAATTTTGTAAATTTACCGGTACATTGACATCTTAATAAGCATCTGTTACAATCATGCAACTTGTGGGCATAAATGAGGGGCTCAGTAATGTTTTTGGTTCAAATGCAGATATTGATATTGGAAAAGACTTTCTTAGCTCATGGAAGTCTATGTCTGCGGCAGACAATGGAATGGATTTTGACTTCGGACCAACTGCCAAAGGCAAGAAAAAGGATTTTAAATTTGACAAAATGTAAGTGTTGCAAAGCCTCGAAGTTGCATATTTACTTGGATACTAGCTTGGAAACTGTTACTTTTTGCTAATCTGGAGAAACAACTCAAACTTTGTATCTGGATTGAATACATATGTACTGTTAATTAAAAAAATAGATCAGATTCTTAACATCCCAATTTTGGAGTTCTCTCTTAACTCCAGAATTCTGTATAATAATTTCCTGCAACTTCCATGATGTGACTTTTTTTCCAGGGATCCGGATTTCTATCTTGATGCTGATTTTGACAAGTTATCATCTTTTAAGATGGACATGTCTGATCTTGATATATCTTCTCCACCAAAGAAACCTGGAAAATCAAAGGGAAGGTCTAAAGAAACATCTTCTGGTGGAGAACGTAGAGCGAAAAGAGATAGCTTTGCATTCCCATTTGATTTTGAAGAGTTAGTTCATACAATCATATTGGACATTTTTCTGTATCAAACAATAAATATGTCAACATATTGTTTTTAAGTCACTTGGTCTATGTTTTTGTAGGTTTGCAGATTTAGATTTTGAGCTGACAAAGACAAAGATAGATGAGAAGTCCAACAAATCTAAAGATAAGGAAAGACACTCAAACATAAGTGGCAGTGGAGTTTCTGGAGACCTTTTGGCTAAAGATGTTGATGCATCAGAGGATGATAATATATCATCAAAGCATCCAGCATCACTGGGTGCTGCCATTTCGAAGATTGATGCTCAAATGGATAAGATTAAGGATTCTGATCCCAGAAATGAGGATGAACACTTGAAATCTGTACTAGACCTAAAACCTTCAAATGCTGAAGAAAAGGAGATGCATAAACCTATTTCAACTCAGGAGATGATTTCATGTAGTGTTGAGGAACCTGTACAAGAATCTCACCCATCAGAGAAGAGACCTTTTCCACAACCTCATGCTCAGCAAGTTGCTCAAGATTTATATGATCACTCTTTAGTTGATAGTGTTTCTACTGAGGTTACTATTTCAGACGTGCAACAAGAAGAATTCAGAACTGTGGTTAGAACAGTTAGCTTGAGCACAGGGGCAGAGCAAAATAGTAATGTGAGGCATGTTGCTGAATTGGTTCCTACTAGAAATTCATCATTTGAAAATTCATCAGCACATATGAATTCACAAAGTCAAAAGGGTGAAATGTGTATGGATGATAATCTACATATTGGCAATATCGATGGTGATGACACAAGAAAAGCTGATTCCCATCTTGAGAGTTCCATGACGCCTGGGATAGAGAATTTTGCTCATAATGAAATGATTGATAAGAGGAATGGAGATTCAGTTTCGAAACTTCATATGGGCTCACTGGACAGGTGAGACTTTCTATTTATTTCTGCTAGATATTAGCTGATATGTGAGTAATGTTTGGACTTTGGACTTACCTTTCTTGGTGAGAAAATTTGCAGTCAGTCTCATTCACAGATTAAATCAATAATACATTTGACCTCCATTAAAGGAACTATTTGGAATCTGGATTTGCAAATATAATTACAAAATTTATAGAGCATTAGATTCAGGAGTTTTCCCATTGCCAGACCACGAGTACATCCCCCCCTCCACCCCCACCCCCTCTCCTGTTGGGGCATAATAGGCTCATTTTGGTATGGTTTTAGATTCAGGAGTACTGGATATCTGCTTGAATTTAAGAATGTGTTTTATCTGATAGGCAAAGCCCTTCACCTTTATGCTAGGCATTGATGTAACTATATTTCTGATCTTATGCAGTGGAACAGCAATTGATGAGTTGGTATCAGAAAAAGGAAGAGAGAATATTCGTAGCCGTTCAAAATATTTCATGAGACAAAATAGAGGCGAATCTGAATTGCAGCAAGCATCAGTCTCTAGGACAAAACTCATCTCTGTTGGCAACAAAAAAATGAGCACCTTACCAAATAATCCTGCACTTGAAAAAAGGTGAGACATTCTTTTAGTTCAAGTAACTTTATCAAATATTATGAAGAAGAAAACCCAATTCAAGACTTTTACAGGGAGAGAGATTCAGAAAGTGTAGAATCTGATAGCAAAATTACTGGTGTATCAAGGTCACCACCCAAATTGCTTAGCAGAGACATACCTGTTCAAACTGAAAACACAGAGACAGGTCGTGTAAAAGGCCTTGATGATACTCGGTGAGACGTTGGTACTTTAAACAGAATTTTATTACGTGTCCCATAGGTCTTAAAGAAATTTCGATGCTCCTTGAAACATTCTGGCCTTAGGAATGTTTCTAGGGGAAGTAAAACAAATCCATTAATTCATTTCACATTAATTACAGGCAGTGCTTGAATGCTGATGATATTGAACCCAGAAACGAACCAAAGGTGATCACAGTGGCACATGATATTGGTCCAAGCAAGGAGGAACCCGTGTCAAGGTGATGTGACCAAAAAATTCGAACATATTAATGCACTCAGGTTTGGTATCTTATATTTGAATTTTTCTTTCTGCTTTAAACGTTTATCTCAACCAACTTTGTATATGGACCCTCCAGAGATGCTGGAAGCTTACAGTTGGATGCTTATGAGATTATGTTCTATAGTAATAACTTGAATAAATAATCAAATGCTTTAGAGTGGATGTTCTTTCTGTAGTAAAATGCCTTCTTATTAGCTTGCTAAAATATAAGAACAATATTTGTATTCTAATTAAGAATATCGATTACTTTTAAGTAATTGATGGAAATCTGGAAAAGGAAACACACCCAATAATCTTTAGGGATTTTTTTCTTCAGGTCTGATGTCCATCCATCCAGTTCAAGTCAACTGTCAAAAAAGGATCTCTCACAGAATGGCCTAAATCCTGGGCTTCAAATGACAAGCATGACATCTCGTAACATGAGCAAAATTGTTGTAGAAAAGAATAGGATTTCCCCTACTAAAGCTGAGATGAGGACATCTGAAGTTTCGAATCTAAGGGTTTCTAGGTAGGATGTTAAATTTGTACATTCTTTTTCCTCCCTTGATCTTTCTCTGTCTATCAAACATATTTAAATAAATTTTAGCGGTCACCATCCATTTTTTAATGTAGAGCTACAGAACAGAAGTTAAAGCCACTCAATTCCTTGTTACCAAAGGGTTTGACATCCATGAGAAACAAGGAGCAAGGAAACATGGTGTTCAAGAGGAACCCTTCTGTTGACACAAAGAAACAAACACCATCCTCTCCAACCCTGAAGCGTAAAACATATGAGGTTCCTTTTTCTTCTTTTAGTCCTCTCTCTCCTAAAAAGGGGATGCCTCATGCACCAGCCCTCCTTGGCTTTGCAAGTGTTGGGAAGGAGGTCTTTGTATGCTGTCTTTCCCTGGATTTCTGCAAAAAATACTATTTGATACTCAAATTATTGGTAGTATGGTGTGTTCGGTAGGCGGATGGGACTGGGCAGGATTGGATGGGACAGGACTGGATGGGCGAGAGTGAGGCAGGGCAGGCTGTTGAAAGAATAGTGAAAGGTTATATGGTTTTAAAATTTGACATGGGTAGTTTAGTAATTTATTCATTTTGTCTCACCTCCCAGTTTCTTGTTCCACCTTTTCTGGTAGGACAAAATTTGCCACTCAGGTCATGTCTTGTCTCTCTTTGTTTAATGTCGTGCCAAACATGGGACAACACGTTTTTGTAGCGTCTTGTCTCGTTCTATCCAGCGTACCAGACACATAAAGACCTCTTCCTTTTCCCTTGTATCCAATAACAACATATTGTACCACTTCTTTTGTCATCAAGTCAATTTGCTTGGATACAAGATTGCGAAACTTAAGTTGCGCATACTCAAGTTTTATCATGATTAATTATGCAGGATTCTTCAGAAATAGCAAGATTAACTCCATTGAAACGTCTCTCTGCATCACCGTGCAGGTCCCATCATGCTAGTAGCTTTATTCGTACTTCTGTTTTTTTTTACTTTAATCTTGTCTAAAAGATGTTCACTGAAAACCAGCAAAGATATCAGAGCATCCGCAAAAAAAGTTGTTGACGAACAGGTAGTCCTGCTAGAATATTTGTGGATTCCTTCCAAGACGGCATGAATGATTAGTTTACACTTTTTGGCTTTCTTAATTTTAGGTTTGCAACCATGCGAATGTGGCAGATGAGAAGTCCCCTGGGCATGATGTTTCTCTAACAGAAATGGACATATCTTCTGCAATAGAAAATGACGGCAATGTTGAAAAGGCCGAGGCATGTTCTAAAGAACTTGAAGATGTAAGTATGGACTCTTTTTATTATGCTAATCATCATGTAGAAGTGTAGATTGAGATTCAAATACAAACCGTGTAATTGTTACAAACCGTACAAACCAAATCTGGACCCTTGATTTTGTTTATTTTGAAATATAAAGGCGAATATTTAATCAGTTAAACATGAGGTTGAGAGTAAATTTAGGAACCGATTTGATCTACACCGTTGATCATCCACACATACGGTTGAGATTGGTTTGTATTTTAAACTCTTTCTACAAGTGTATTATGAGAATATGTGGAATCCCATTAGATTACACTCCAAGAGAGCCCTTGAGGAGAGAAGGGAGGTTGCTACATATATTGATGAGATGAGAAATGGTCCAAGTCTAGCTGGTGTAAGGCCAACTTTCTTCGAATGCTTGACCGCTTCTTTCTCATATCTTGGCCATTTCGAGGGTGGGCCATGGATATCATCGGAAAGATCTATCCCCCGTCACACTTGCTATATCCACTAAGGCTTCATCCCACTTCACGAGACTCTAACAGGCAGATTTCTGGTGTCATCAGTATCCCTGTCCCCTCCTTGTCTTACCAATTAATTTATTTAATTCAATCATTTCATTATTTCTCCTCGATAAATGGATGATGCAGCTTTACGTGATTGTGGACAAAGAAGGGACAGGAAAATTTGGACATCAGATTTTTATCCCTAACAGGCCTCCAATGGAGGCTAGACAGATATAGAATGACCTAGAGTGTCGAGAGGGGGTTGACGAGTACAACTTACCCTAGTCTTGAGTGGTAGACCTAGGTTTCGTACCATGTGAGAAAGATTGGAACCTCGTTAGATTACTCTCAGAAAGAGGCCTTGATAAGGGATTGGAGTTTCAACATATAATGCAATAAATGGTTCAAGTCTAGCCGACGTGGGACTTTAATGTGTATCATTCTGAAAACCTCTATCTGGTGATTCAAACAACTTGCCAAAGGAGCAGAAATTAATTGTAGACATGTTTTTGCGATACAGATCTGTAATGTGCTGAAAAAGAAGCATGAGGAGGCAAAGGATATGCTTGTTCGAGCTATTGTCAACAACAACAATCTCCTGATGCTCAACCATCCAATCTATCAAGATAAAATATCCTTTCTTAGCTTTCATCTTTCTTTTACCTTCCTATATGTTGGAGATCATGGTTGCTCATACCTTCCATTTCAAAAAGAGGTACAATTTGTCTTTAGAATCAAACAAACTGCTTTTCCAATTTCAAAATTAGCATGCATTGTTTTTGGAAAACCCGAAAACCACACCTTCGGGGCTTGTACGTTTTCTGCATGCATTTGAATGCACCCTTGGTAGTTATGCACGACACTAAATTATGACTTCAACTTGGGTCATGTTAGGCAACCAAAAGGTAACTAATTTTTTGAGCTTATTGAAAAAACCATGTTTGGTTGGTCATAAGTTAACTTTTCCAAGTAGCGTTTTAATAAGCTACAAGGGTTTTTTTTTCCAATTATGCCCCTTATATTTTTTTTTCAGCATATCCATTTAGGTTATTTTACGTTGTCATCTAACTTACTAACTAGTTTTTACCAAACAACCCTACCTTAGTAGCTAACAACTAGTTTTTAGTTATCAGTCAGTTTGCATTGCTTATACAAACCTAACAACAAACAATTTTCCATCTGTAGGTTGTAGTCTTTTATAGAATTTTACTGCTAATTCTTTTATCTATTTCAAAGCACGAATTTGGCTTTGATTGTTTAGAACGAGGGGGAGTATGGGATTATGATTGTTCAAATCCTTAATAAATTCGATATGTTCGCATGGTTCAGAAATTTGCCGCGTTGCTTATGCATGATTAGCTTCAAATTTGAACCTGCTTAAGCTAGAATTGAAACATGTCATATAAGATTCTTCCCGAGGCGAAATGGTGTTTCCTTTCAAGTTCTTGTGATTATACAGCAAGAGTGTCGGTTTGCTTGTGGTAAAAGACTGCCACGCTGTGAAGATCGCAGGTACGTATTCACATTCACAATTCTTTTTGTTGCCCTTTTATCTTTTCATAAGAACTTTAGCTATAAGGAGTACTGTGAATGCTGAACAGTGCGTAAAGTGGTAGATGACTTGTCACTCATTATTCATTTCTTGTTTGCTCAGATTTTTGTTAGAAAATGCCTAGATGTTGACGTGTCACGAGGTTAGTCCCGACCGAGCTTGTTTCTAGAACTCGCCTCGGTCCAGAACATGCTTCAACCAAAAAGAGGTCTATGTGGCTAATCAACCATAGCTTCTTGGTGGATCTAGTGCCAGTCCAATCCTAAGCCCTACTTTGGAACAAGACTTTTTACCCATCTCTATAAACATATATTATAAGAAAAATATCATTAATTACAATCAAATAAACTAAAATTAGATAAATATCAAACTTGGAGGACCATATTGTAATAAAAGTACTTCAATCCTTCAACATTGACCGGTAGTCAATAGAACATCAACTTTGGTATCATACAGATCACCAACACCAAAAAATAATGTAAAGTTTGATGTTCGGTTGGAGTGAATTGGTGTTAAGAATGGTGCAAAAATAGGATTTGGAGTGGAGATGCTTTTCATGAACTTAAAGATTGATAAACATATTAGAGGTGTCATAACAAATCAAACAAACCCAATATATCCTACTAGAATTAGAGGTGGAATACAAATTTTATACATATGAAACTCATTTACAGCCAACTGTTCAACAATTTATTACGTTATCCATGGGACAAGAGTCATTGTGTGGTTGAATACGCCGTCCAACCACGTACGGTTGTTGAATCTCTATCGTAGATTTGCTTTTCTAATACCTGTAGACCGTTGGGTGCAAATGATTCACAACCCCCCTGTATTCTACAGAATCAAAAGGATAGTAATAAAAATTGACCCATTATATACTACGCATACTCCATGCTACCAAACTTTTCCATCTCCCCCCGGAAACCAATAACCGCATTCGCTTGGAGATACAACAACACCTTGAACCCATCTTTCTTTCCCTGGCTTGCCTCTGAATAAGGCAAGAAGAAACACGGTTCAACGCTCCCGAGAAGGTTCCTTGAGAGTGGTATGACCGTGACGGGACCTCCCCAGCCGAAGTCAACCGTTGAATGGCCCAAGTGCCTCCAGTCAGTAAATGCACTAACCCTTTTGCCAGCATTGATCCCTTTTTCGTAATTTAGCTCTTGGAAATCGATGAACGAGTGGACATACTCGTTGGTGGCATTTCTCTTGCTCTTTTTGATCATTTCGGCAGTTTCCCAAATGGGTCTCTCCGTCAGTTCTCCGGCTGTGAGTTGTACGTACATTGGAACGCAGCCGTTCCCCCAATAACCGGCTGGCAGTGGGGGCTTCACCAGCTTCCTTATGTTGATTGCGTATGCAAATTTCACCTTCTCTTCTCTAGGAAATTTTGAGGCTTTCACCCTGTTTTCATAAACGTGAAGTAAATTTTCTTAATTTGGAAAATTGGAGTGAAAACATTAAATTCAATTATGTTCTATCGCAATTATATCAAGGCCATGTTTGCAGCCTAAGCTAGTTTTGAATTTTAAGGCTTGTTTTTTCTTATGCCTTATTTTTTTTTAATTATCTGTATTTTATGCTATTATTTAATTTATCATAAACTAGTTTACACTTATCTAACACCAAACATAGTTTTTATTTTTAGTTTAAATTAAGCTAAACAAAATAAATTGTTTGTCGAATTTATTAACATGATTTGGCATTTTATAATTCTTAACGAAATCATTTCAAACTTAAAATTGAAAAACAAATAGGTTTGAAATTCGAATTCACTTACCTTGCTTGCCATAGAAAAGCTCCCAAAGCTTCAAAAGTGGTGAAGCTCAAACCGGACCGTTCTTGAAGTAAAATTTTAAACCGGTCCAACCACTCATCTTTCACATGAAAGCACTCCCTAACCACCTTTTCATCCAACTCCGAGTAAGGCACAAAGTCCTTATCCAAACATAAAACCTCTTCAATTGGAAAGACAATTCTAGCCGGTTCTCTAGGTCCCAGCAACTTTGATCGGTCCCAAACCGGTTCAACCGTCACCTCACCCGCCCCTCGAGCAAGCTCAGCCATAGCATTGAAAAATAAGGTTGCCCCAAGCCCATCACACAGCACATGGTGCACCGATGCTCCGAGTGTATACCCGCCACAACTAAACCGGGTCACCTGTAACATCAACGGATGGGTCAGCCGGGTTTGTTGATCCGGGTTTGGAACTAACAACTCAATGAATTCCTCATCTGCATCGTCAAGGTAGCTGACGGAGCTCAATGGAGAGTCGACGGTGGCTGGAATGACCGTGACTCCGCCGCCAACCTTGCAATGGAGCTCAAACCGGCCGTCGAATTTGCGGCGGTGGAGAGAGCCGGTGTATGGGTAGTATTTGACGAGGGCGGTGGAGAGAGCGACGGTGATTACATCAAAGGGGTGGGGATGATGGTGGTTGGCGGCAGCGTAGGCTCGGACGTAACGGAATGGAACATTCATGTTGCGATCGGTATCGAGGTGGGAGAGGGGGAGGATGTGGTCATCGGTGAAGGGTTGCTGAGAGGGGTAGACGGTGGTGGGTTGTGAGATTTTGACATCCATGGTGGTGGTTAGTACGTAACGCTGGTGATGATACATACAAGGTAGGTGCCACCCACTTTCCAAAACTCGAAATGTAAAAGCCTTATAAGATAGAGGCTACGTAGGAGTTAGGACAAGGGACGTGGACATTTAGGCATCGTTCGGCAACAATTTTATTTCTTGCTTTTCTTTTAAATGTTATATAAAAACTTTACGTAAACAACTTTTAATATTTTTAAAAATAACTACAAAAATTATATATTTTTTTGTGAGGTTTTCATAAGTTTATATCAAGTTTAAATAATAATATAAATTAGAGATAAAAGTATATATTGATTTTACATGTAATATGAAAAATCCATTTCACTTTTACATGTTCTCAATCAAACATATAATTACTATTTCATACTTCTTTTTAACACTTCCATTATAATTAATCAAAGAAATATTCTACGGTTATGAGATAATGGTTGAATTTGGAGGGATGGATCAGGCATATGAGAAGAGGCATGAATCATGCATATCTTCAAGTATAAAATCATATATAATTTAATATTTTTTATGTAATTTTTTTTTTGTTTGAATCCGATATACATCTGTAACTTGTTAACATGTTTGATGATTTTTCACAAAACATACCGTATGCAGATAGAGGCCTGCATTAGAGCAATGTCTAAAGACGAAATTTGTCCCCATTTATGATGTAGTATTAGAAGTTGTTTAATGGATGCCGTTATCTAATTGATTTCAAGCATATAAAATCAAATGTGGTGGGTCATGTTCATGAGAAACAAAATGTTGGTGAACAGGTGAAGGAAAGATGGATGGATGTAGTATAAATAATTGGTACTTATACATTTTTAGGGGCCGTTTACCAAACGTAAGCGTTTATCAAGTAATATTACCTCAATGCATGAATATGATAAAGACCAAGAATCTTACCGGGTAAGAGTGAAACAAGAACCAAAAGTCTTAAACTCTTACCACGGTAAGCTCTTACCGGGTAAATTCTTGCATACGATGTCGTTTTGGTGGACTAAAATCTTACCCGGTAAATAAATAATAGTGTTAAATTTTACCAGTAAGCACTTACCGGGTAAGTGTTTGGTAAACGACCCCTTACATATAATCTTTTGTTGGTAGTTTTTTTAATTGTTTTTTACGGTAAATATAGATAAAGATAAAAAAATAGATTAATTAATAACAAATGACAGGTTTATTAACTGTTTTTTATGGTAAATGTAGGTAAAAGATCCAAGATAAATAAATTACTTAACAATTAATTATTATAAAAACTGAAGCTAATAACGATAAATAAAAAGGATTTTGGATTTAAAAAAGCATAAAAGGCCCAATCTTTGACCCATAACAAACTCATAATCTAAGCTTTAGCCCATTTTGTTAAGTTACGAAAAAAATGGACATAGATTACAAATTCCTATTGTTCCAACTTTCAACTTCAATTTTCCATCGATTTACATCATTTTAAAAATAGACAACTATAATTCAAAAAGAATTATTTTAATCAACTTCTACATTTTAAAGACTACAACATTAAATATTATATTAAAATATTTTATTTTAAAATAAAATATTTTTTTCTCTCATAAACATTTAATTTCAAGGTTTCTTATTGGTTGAAAACAATAAACAAATGTTTCTCTCTCATGATAATCATTTTTGGAGAGTTTCCTAAATTTTTGAGATTAGCAATGCATGTCACATGGCTCTGAGGGGACTAAGGAATTTTAATGTATATAGAACGTAGACGGGCTTGGCCCTTTAGGGCGCGTTTGGTCTCGACCATTGAATTTGAAAATAATAACACTTAGAAAAGAAAATATTTGTTTACCTTAATTTACAAGGAATATATCCGATGAACTTCATCTATAGGATATAGTTCCAATTTGGTAACATCCGAACCTTAAAGTCTTAGGTCTCGAATGTACCTCACCAGATCCCTTATGTAAAGATTGTGAAACCAACTCTTGTATCTCTTGATAGTTTTTCATCCGATTAAAGAAATCCAAAGACCACTTAAAGCTTAAAGATTCTTGTTTCATTTTTTTCACCAAGTGTTTTAGTATCAGATGAAAGCACCTTTATGATGTTTCTATAGCTAGAAAATAAGTCAATATCTTATATTTCAGAATAAAAAAGATATGATTTTTACTTGTAAAAGTCTTGTAACTATTTGTATTGGTCCAAGAGAAAATGCCTTTAACAAAATCGAAGATTAATTGAAGTAAGTTCAAAATCATCACCAAACCCGATTGGTTTGTCATCTATCCAAAAAGAAGATCAATACAAGATAAAAGCCAACTAATAATCTAACAAATACTATTACTATCAAGTCGGATTTGAAATACAAACTTGTCCAACAAGTTTGGCTCACAAGTCTCCTGTTATAATTTTATTAACTCATAATTTATTTTTTACAATAACTTCATAAATTATAATTTTATTACATTACCGCTATGTTGTTATCTAAAGTTACTTTCCTGTTAATGTATTTTTTAATATCATTGTATTGTAATATATATAAATACTAGATTCGATCCCGTGTATTACACAGGGTAATTTGAAAAAATTAAATCATGTCAGCAACTTATCTTACATATATGAATGATCATTGAAAGTACGATGCTACTTCAGACTTGAACTCTTGAAATAACTCAGAAGTATAACTCTGAAAAATAACTCTGAAAAATGACTATTCAGACTTGAATTTAGAAACGAAACTATATCAATAATTAGTTAAAATGAAGTTAACCCTAAAATAAAATTAAATTTAGAAATGAAACTATATCGGTAAATTGAATTTAAACTTAGAAGTAAATTTAGAATAACTATTCAGACTTGTACTCTTGAAATAACTTTGAAGTATAACTCTGAGGAATGACTTCAGACTTGTACTCTTGAAATAACTCTAAAGTAAAACTCCTCAGACTTCAGAGCTCTGTATAAGCAAGCTAGAAGCTCTGCATGCACTATGCAGAGGCTCTACATGCACTATGCAAAGGCTCCGCATGGTGCTCTGCATGGTGCTTCGTCTAAAAAAGAAGACTTCAGAGTTTAGGTGAACTAACTCTGGAGAATGACTATTCAGACTTGTACTCTAAAAATACTCTAAAGTAAAACTCTGAAAAGTAACTCTTCAGACTTGTACTCCTGAAATAACTCTGAAGTATAAAATCAATCCCACTAAATCAGAGTTTAGATTTCTAATTCTGAAAAAAAAAAAGACTTCAGAGTTCAGACTTCTAAGTCTAAAAAAAAAAGACTTTAGACTTCTTTTTCTAAGTCTAAAAAAAGATTTCAGAGTTTAGACTTCTAAGTTTGAAAAAGAAGACTTCAGAGTTCAGACTCCAGAGTTCGGGTAAGCTAAGTTTGAACAAGCAGACTTCAGAGTTCAGGTGAACTAACTTTTTAGAATGACTCTTCAGACTTGTACTCTTGAACTAACTCTGAAGTATAACTCTAAAATATGACTTCAGACTTGTACTTTTGAAATAACTCTTAAGTAAAAACTCTGAAGAATGAGTTCAGACTTGTACTATCGAAATAACTCTGAAGAATGACTCTTGATACTTGAATTTAGAAATGAAACTATATCAGTAATTAGTTAAAATGAATTTAACCCTAGAATAAAATTGAATTTAGAAAATGAAACTATATCAGTAAATTGAATTTAAACTTAGAAGAGCATATGTGTCAAATCTGAAGAAGAATTCTGAAAACCTTGAGTTCAGAGTTATTCAAATACCCAATATCTTTGAAAAAGACCCCATGGTAAAGTTTTCATCACCAATCAAAAGCAAGGTCAACCAAAGGCCCTCTAGTCAACCAGAGCTTCTAGTTCGTCTATCCAGAGCCTCTGGTTCGTCTATCTAGAGTTGTAAAAATTTAAAATAATTAAAGACTTTGAGTTTCAATTACAACCAGAGACCCTCTGGTTAAACATGAAGATCAACCAGAGCCCCTCTGATTCCTTTATGATGGATTGGAATATTTTTCCAAGGTTCAAATAAACAACCAGAAGCAAAGACATCCAGAAGCCAGACTAACCAGAGGGGCTCTAGTTTACAAGACCAAGTCTAAGTTTTAAATACTTGTATTGAAAGTATAGATAAGTTTATTACAAAACTTGTACTCTTGAAATTACTCCGAAGTAAAACTCTTCAGACTTCAAAGCTCTTTATTGGCAAGCCAGAAGCTCTGCATGTACTATGTAGAAGTTTTGCATGGTGTTATTTTTAGAAAAGAAGACTATAGAGTTCAGTTGAGCTAACTCTGAAGAATGACTCTTCAGACTTGTACTCTTGAAATAGCTCTGAAGTATAAAATCAATCCCATTAAATCAGAGTTTAGACTTCTAAGTCTGGAAAAAAAGACTTCAGAGTTCAGACTTCAGAGTTCAGACTTCAGAGTTTGGGCGAGCTAAGTCTGAAAAAAAAAGTCTTCAGAATTCGGGTGAGCTAACTCTAAAGAATAAATCTTTAGACTTGTACTCTTCAGAATTGTAGAAGACTTCAGAGTTCAGACTTCTAAGTCTGAAAAAGTACACTTCATACTTTTTTTTCTAAGTCTAAAAAAAAGATTTCAGAGTACAGACTTCTAAGTTGAAAAAGAAGACTTCGGAGTTCAGACTCCAGAGTTCGGGTGAGCTATGTCTGAAAAAGCAAACTTCAGAGTTCGGGTGAGCTAACTCTGAAGAATGACTTTAGACTTGTTTTCTTGAAATAACTCTGAAGTAAAACTTTTTCAGTAAATTGAATTTAGAATAAAATGAAGTTAACCCTAAAATTAAATTGAATTTAGAAATGAAACTATATTAGTAAATTGAATTTAAACTTAGAAGTAAACACCGTTTTTTTTTCCGAGAATCAGTTACCGTACAAATTAATTACCCAAGAATAAAATCAATTACATCCTAAATTAGTGGGATTGCTTGAATAAGAGGACACATGTCAATCAAATGAGTATAATTGAACTGTTAATGTAAATTGTGGCTAGATACG